TCAGAGTCGGGCCTTGCTCGAAACAAGACCCCAGGGACACCGAAGAGGTGGTTGTACCCAAACATGTTCAACATGTTTCCCATGGCCTGCCGGTGTATTTAGATATCGGGTAAGCTTGCAACAAGGTAGCCCACCCCACCAACCACCTCACCAACCACCCCACCAACCACCTCACCAACCACCCCACCAACCACCACCTCGTCCCCGAGGTCTGAAGCACTGGCTGCTGCGTGTCTCGGGCCACGAGAGCGAGGCCTGGCTTCAGCGGGCCTGCCGCTCTCTGCTCTCCTCCTCAGCCACCCAGGAGCCGTGCCCACTGGGTAAGTCATCGGGTGGTTGGGTGAAGCCATCGGGTGCTTTGGGCCTGAAGCCATCGGGTAAGGATGGTTTGGGTGGTTGGGTGTTTAACGCAGGTGATTCCATGATTTGTGTTGTGGGTGGTTGGTTTGGGTGGGCCACTTGAGCGTAAGGCAGCTTGCCTTAGGGGCGCGCCTTTTGGTTGGTGCCGGGTTCAAAGAGCTGATCTGGGTATGGGTCAAAATGAAGCCAGGGACACAGGTTTTTTCCAGGCCTTCCAGGGCAACCCATTCGGGTACTTATATTTGACCCACGGCTATGCGTGGCTTTTTCCAAGGGTGTTGATGGGACGAGGTGATTGTAACTCTTACAGCTTTGTGCTTCAACTTGTGAGCTTCCGACTAAAAGTCACAAAGGGGGCTGTACCGGAGGACACGGTGTTCATGGTCACCGTGGTGATTTTGGAACAGGCCGCATATTGGCTTGGACTGGTTAGTTATTCTTGGATGTTCTTCGACACAAAGCGCCCAGTCTCTTTGGAGAGGTACCTACTTCGCTCACTCATGAATTGAGTCCACTTTTCGAGTGGAGAGACCTGGCGTCCCTTCAAGATCAAATGGCCGTGTCTTTTTTTGAGGGCCTTTTTGCGTGGATTTCCAGAGAAACCAACAGGACCCACCATTTTGGGGTTCCGATTCCAAAAAAAAAGAGACGGCCAAATACCGAACAAGAAAGTGCTCTTCCAGTCAGCTTCCATTTTTCATGATTGTTGGAGGTTTGCAAAGGGAATGTCGTGAAGCACACTGACCAACCATCAATTAATTGGAACTTCTCTGAGGCATGAAGAACCTTCGTTTTGTGTGGTTGCAAACCCGGCTCCCCAAAAACAGACTCGCCCAAATGCCAAGCAAACGAGGTCCCTTCTACGAGTTTCCAGGCAGCCCGGTAGCTTGCAGGACTGGCAACGCATCAACCCCTTCCTCTCGGAGAGTGAGGCGCTGTCATATGGCTGTGAGTCAAAACCAATGGTACCATTTTGGGGTAGGTGCACCACCCATTTTAGTCTATTTTAGTGGGGATTGGGATGTTCACTGGGGGTACGGGCTCTTGACCCATGGCCATATATGTTACAGGGTGGCTTGAGAGGAAAGCCACGGAGCTCCTTTGGGGGGTTTCCACGGTTCCAAATTTGGAGACAAAGCCGGATTTGGGTTTGTCTCAGGATTGGGACCCAGAACACCAAACCCCACAATGGCACCCAAAATGGGACCAACCCCACCCAACCCGAGAATTATGTGTCATTTTCCCGTTTTAGTTTCGAAGGGAATCTTATCACCACGTACTTGACATACTGTGGATGGACGAAATCCTGCACCACCAAACAACCCTAGAATGATTTGATCCCCTGTAACTACCAACAAACAATGGTTTCCCATGGTGTCTTGGGTGGTGCGAAATGTATTTCGTCCAACCACAGTATGTATATATATTTTTGTCTGGGCGCTTCGGCAAATGGAACCTTGGGTGGGGGTGGCCAGTGTCTCCCTGGAGGTGCGGGACATCCTGCAGCTCACGAGCCACGCGATGCTGCGGGCGGTGCGGGTGGTCCTGGCCAACGGCTCGCTGGCGGAGGCCCGGGATCTCCAGAAGATGCTGAAGAAGGCGATCGGCACGGTGAAGGAGGAGAAAAGTGGGGGGGGTTGGCTTTTGAGTGTTGAGGGGTGGCTAGGGGGGGGTGGTGGGGGTGGTGGGGGAGGTGGGGGTGGTTGGTGGTGGTGGGGGGTGGTGGGGGAGGTGGGGGTGGTTGGTGGTGGTGGGGGTGGTGGGGGGTGGTGGGGGTGGTGGGGGGTGGTGGGGGTGGTGGGGGTGGTGGGGTGAGGTTGAAGCGGGGACTGGTTGCCTTTTTCTCAAGGGACAGCAACTACAGAGGGAACTACCAAAACTGTCGCATTGTCGCTTTCATTTGCCTCGGTGCATTTTTAACAGCATTGTAAGTTCCTTAGACGGAGCTTACCGGTTTTCACCTTTTTTTTATGGATTGGCCGTTTCGCTTTCTTTAGCTCCCCTCGAAGCCCTCCCCTGCCCTCTCCCCTCCCCTTCCCTCTCCCCTCCCGTCTCGAAACCCCTCCCCTCCCCTCCCTTCCCCTCCCGTTCCCTCCCCGCGAATGGCAGGAGGGCAAGCTCCCGAATGACTTGCTGGTGGGCCTCTCCGAGAAGGGCGAGGTCTTAGCGCGGCGCCTCGACGCCAAGCGCCACTACGTGTCCAAGGAGACCCCGGCTCGCCGGTCGCCCCGCCGCGCGCGGGTGGCGGATGGGGTGCGGACATCCGCGCTTCCGGCCCGAAGTGATGTGTGTGGGGTAGACTTAGAGTCTATATAGGGAATTGGAGCCCCAAAATGGGCAACTGGGAGTTAAGCATAACCTAAAAGGGAGTTGAGCATTTTGGTTTCCTTTTAGGCCCAACAAAAATAGGTACCCTGCAAAAAGCGCGAAGTCGCCTGGAAGGGGGCGAGGCGTGCCGCTAGAAGGGAAACCATTTTTAGAGGTGTCCACGGTTTCCCTGGGGCGAGATTCGGGCAAACAGACTGCTTTTCAGATTGGCGCCTTGGTGTTTCCTGTGTTCTCCAGAAATCTTGGACCTCTCCCGTTTGCTTGTTTTGCCTGCGCCCTGTGGCTTCTTGGCAGGTTTCTTTTTCTCTGCACTTTTCTATCTCGTCCTTCGGCCTAGACTTCTTGCTGCTTCAGTTGTTTAAGCTCGACAAGTTGTCCTGAGGCCTGATGGATCGCTCGTGGCCAGGGCTTGGTTGCCTAAAGTTTGGAATGCGTTTTCCGTTTACCTAGAAGACTGGCAATCAGCAGAGCCATTTCGCCGGGATGCGAGAGGAGCAGGCACCGATTTGTCTAGTACCTCTTTCCCTTCACAACTACTGTGAATGGACGAAACCTAAGCAACCCTGGAATTGTGATTCCCCAATAAATCCCCAACAAAGGTTACGGTTTCAACCACGGTTTTCATGGTGCGAACGGGCTTCGCAACCATCCACATGCGCGGTATCTCCTCGCCTGCTGCTGCTGGCGAGGACTTGTCCTACGACCCCCACTTCCTAGTCTTCGAGTTCTCTGATAACAAGATGCTTCATGAGCGCCAGGCGGATGGGGCATGGAAAAGACCGACCGGGGGGGCCCATCAGCAAGTCTTTTCCCCTAAAAAACTGAGAGAGCCCCTCCGCTGGGCAAATGAGAAACAAAAACGACAGGGGAAGAACATTTTTCATTAGGGGATCGGATGAGATTAGTGACCAGGAGTCCTCTACTCGAGGCTGGCTCAAAATCAATCTGCAAGCTCCTTCTGTGAGGCAATTTCCCTTGTCGCGGCGTGCCAGTAGGGATCTTAGATTAACCTGAGGGATCCCCCCATTTTAAGCATGGCACCGGTTTCCGTTCGGTTCGAATGATCCAGTGCCATCACTTCCGAAAGGACGCCAGGCTGACGGGTCTCTGAGATTTCCGGTCCAGGGCTGTAGCCTCTCCTGAATCCTGCGCTGAGTGAAGACCCAGGGAGCGCCCAAGCACAATTCCCTGTGTCCCAGTTCGGTAGATTTGGTGTGCCAAGACAAATCCGCAGTTGTTTGATATCGCCCAAGCCGCAGTTGTTTGATTGCCCAGGGTGACATGAGCAATGAGCAGGGGCTTGCGTGTCCCTTTCATGAAGCAGACCCCTTCTTGGATGTTGTTTCAATTAAAACCAATTCGAACACCCACCATTTTGGTTGAGTCCCCTAGAAAAACATCCAGCAAGTTTCGTCTGCTGAGAAAAGAAAAAGGGTTTCATCCCGCGGTAGCCAACCACCCACTCACGTCCCTCGCTGCTTTTTGCACACTCCCCCCCCCCCCCCGCGTTAGGTCGCCATCATCTCGGACTTCCAGAAGACCGCGGCTTGGCGGAGGTCCCAAGCAAGCGTCCGGGTTCCTTTGGGGTTTTGAGGTGGGTTTTTTTTAGGTGGGTCTAGCGGTCGGGAATGGTTTGAACCCACTGTTCCTTTTGGGTGTTTTAGTTTTAGGTGGGTTGTTACGTGGGTTTAGGGGACCTGAGGTTTTTAGGTAGTTTAGTGGGTTTGGGTGGGTTTAGTTCCTTTTGCAGTGGGTTTCGTTGGGAATGGTTTGAACCCAGAAGGTTCAAGTAACTTGTAGGGGACCTGGTGGGTTTTTCGCGGTTGGGTTGTTTTGAAGCCGGGGATCTGAAGTCTGAGCCCCGACAGGCAGCGTTTCTTTCCAACGTTGGCAAAGGATTGGCTTCGCTGCTTCCCGAGGTGGAAGGCGGCTCGAGTGGGGTGAAGCAGATGATCATGGGCGCGGGGAAAACCACGGTGGCGGCTTGGCGATTGGGCGGGACCGGACCCGCGCCGCTTTGGGTTTGGCGCCGAAGTTGGAGCTTCAGTTCTCATCTGGCTAGTGAAAGATACACATCATGGTGTCTTTTTTAGGGGAAGCCTCTCTCGAAAGAGTTTTAAGGGAAACCAAAAGGACAACCACCATTGGGGGTCCCCCGAAAAAAGAGACACCCAAATATGGGGCGATTTGTTGGGAGGGTGGATCGAGTGGGATTTCAGGTTTGATTCGCTCACTGGCAGCCAAACATCCATTTCCTGAAGAGTCCAGGGAAAAATAAATAGATTTTCAATAGATTCCCTTTGAAATCAAGACAGGAAAATAACAATTATTCTTATGCAAATGGAAGCAGCTATGGCAGCTTCAAACAGCTTTCAAAAGGTAAAAGGTCGGTCCTTGATTTTGACACGTTCCGAGCCATCACTAAGCTTGCTGCTCGGGCCAACGCTGGATGCTTGGCTTGTGCAAACAAACGAATCAGACCACACTATTGAACTGCTCCAGCGCTGTCGCCCCTACGAGAAGGACTTGATTGGTCGAATCGGCGATTCGAAAGCCATCGAAAAGCCGCAGGTCCTTTGGTGCAACCGGGATGTTTTAGCCACCGCGTGGCTCAAGCAGAAGCTTAAAGGTGCTGGACGATTCACCCTCTCGTCCAGCATTGGAACTGACGACTTCCATTTGCTTAAGACTTTCTTTTTAAATATATATATATATATATATTTTTTTCTTTTGCCTTGTTGGCTTTAAAAGGATTTTATCACTACTGGAAATATTGTTTGTTTGTTTTTTTATCCAGGGGTCTTAACTCTTAACCAAATGGAAGGCGACAATTGCGGTACCTGTTATTTGCAGGGTCCGCGCAAAAAGGAGTTTCCCTATAGCGCTGCTGGGTTCCATGCAAGCGCTGCAACATATTCATCCGGCCTGGGCTGCCAAACCTTTTGATAATTTTGGGCAAGGCCATTCCAGATAAGCCTTTGTTGTGTTTCTTGTATCCGCAAGACAGTAAGCCATAACGGTTCGCCACTGTTTGGATTGTCTGGAGTGTAGGGGTAAGTTATATATATATATATATGTAAACATATATATATACACACATACATACATACATACATACCATACCATACCATACCATACCATACCATACCATACCATACCATACCATACCATACCATACCATACCATACCATACCGCACCACACCACACCACACCACACCACACCACACCACACCACACCACACCATACCATACCATACCATACCATACCAACCATACCATGCCATACCATACCATACATACCAACATACATACATACATACATACATACATACATACATACATACATACATACATACATACATACATACATACATACATACATACATACATACATACATACATACATACATACATACATACATACATACATACATACATACATACATACATACATACATACATACATACATACATACATACATACATACATACATACATACATACATACATACATACATACATACATACATACATACATACATACATACATACATACATACATACATACATACATACACATATCCCCCACATAGCTCTTCGCTCCACCTTTCCAGGTTTTACTTAAGCCCCTCGCCTCGCGCGCTGGGAGCCTCGGTTCGGAAGGTGAGCCCCTTGCTGTCGATGCTGCTGGCGGACGGCAAGCGCCTGGTGAGCCTCGTGGTGCCCTCCGCTCTGTTGGAGTTCTGCCGAGGCGCGGAAGATTTATTTGGGAGACCCCGCGGAGTTTGGAGAACGAGACGAAACGAAACGAATCTGGAAAAAAGGAAGAACACAATAAGTCCAGTGGTGATAGATTCCCTTTAAAATCAATGTTTGGAGAACGAAACGAGTTGGTTTTGTTCATGCTGGCTTAAGGGATTCGTAGGTTCACAAGTTCCCCTGTTGCTTTTAAAGGGATTCGATTTCGCTGCTGGAAAGGTTTGGAGGGAACGAAGGGTGGGATTTGTTCGCCGATGAGCAGATGCACCTCTGGGTCATAGAAGAACTCCCTGGACATCTTATGTGAAAAACTCCGCCTCTGGTTCATGGAATATCTTCCTGAACATTTATGTGAATAACTCAAGTTTAGAGCCTCTTTTTTGTCCACCCAGCGACTGGTACATCTATCTTTTCACTATGGTGTGCTGTTGCGATCCTGCGATTCCAAGAGAGCATGTCGGCACAATTCGTGACCTTTCCTAGAGGGGCGCCTTTTTCCGCCACGAAGTACACGCCGGAAAAGTTCCCATCCCAAAAGCCAGCGGAGGAAGGGAGAACTGAGAATCGGGAGCATACCCTGTGGGATAGGCTTTGGTATCGAGATTCACCCAAATATTCAAGTGACCCTTAGCTGGTGGTTGGCTGGATTGGTGGTTTGCGGATTTGAACCATGAGGGGTTCTTGTAGAGGGGAAATGGAAGCTCCCCCCTAACCCCCAAACCAAAAAAGAGGTACCCTCCGAAAACTGGGCTCCTATTGGCCCATTCCAGGACCCGGCCCCCAGGCGCCTTTGGTGGACATCATTTTGGGTGAGATGTATCCTCTACTCAACCACACACAACCCAGAAGTCGCCAGGGCTCTGGGATCACTCGGGGTTTATCCCCACTTTGTGATACAAGGGAATCTCCCCCTTTTGTGGGGGAGTTACTCTTTGAGAAGCCCTTTTTGGTGTATCAGAGAAGTGGTCATTTCCCACAGCCCTGCCCAGGCGTGCTGATGGCGGTCTTCTCCTCCATCATCCAGAAGCGCGTGTGTTTGTTCCACTGCGACCGCTCCGAGGATGTGGACATCGCCATTTGTGACCGCATCGAGTCGGTGAGGAACGAGGGCCATATCGTGCTGACAAAGCCTACGGACGTGAAGTGGGGGCCCCGGCCTTTTTGTTTGTTTGTTTGTTGGTTTATTTATTTGTTTTGATTTAATTTATTTGTTTGCTTGTTGCTTGTTGGCTTGTTGGCTTTTTGGCTTGTTGGTTGGCTGGCTGGCTGGTCGTGGTTTGTGGTTTTTCGCCACACGGTGGGCCCACCTTTTGGGAAGAGCACTTTCCTCCAAAAGGGAGGGTGCCTGCCTTTCGTAGCCCCGCAGCCCAAATTCGCACCCCAAAGTGACAAACTACACCCCAATTCAAAATGAAACCACCAGCATCTGGAGCGCAGATGCTAGTCCTTACCACCCACACCAACCAACCAACCAACCAACCAACCAACCAGCCAGCCAGCCGGCCGGCCGGCCGGCCGGCCAACCAAGCCACACCAAGCAACCAAGCGAGCAAGCAAGCATCCAGCCAGCCAGCCAACCAGCCAATAAACCAAAAAGTCAACAAACCAACAAGCCAACACAGTTTCCATATGGCTCAGATGGATGTCCTTTCCCCCCACCTCCAAACCCCCACCTACCTTTACCATACTAAACCAGAAAGCTCACTATGTGTTTGGGGATTTGCGCCATTTTCCAATTGACCAGAAAACAACACCGTTGTGGGCTCTTGCGGTGGCGCATTTTTTGATCCCTTCCTGAAACAGATCACAGGGGTTTGGGTGGCAGTGAGTGGATCTGAGGAGCCTGATTCTGCGCTTTGTGGAGAATCTGGACATCTGCAACGACCGCCGATCCAAGCGAAACACCGCAGCCCAGCAGAAGGAGCTGTGGGTCGCTCCGATCGAGTGTGCCGTCTCGCGGGTTCTAGCCTGAGAGGGCGTCGGTCAAGGAGCTGTTGGTTTGGGAGGCCGGAGTTGATGAAATATGTAGTTGATGTGTGTGTGTGTGTCTCTGTGTGTGTGTGTGTGCATATTACGTTTGAGTCTCACAGGTATTTTGAAGGCATCGCTCTAGATGTGCTGACAGCAGTGAGACCTGGCAGACATTGTGCCGAGGTCCTTGGATCAAGGAGTTTGGAGATTTCTTTGGAGCGCTTTGCCCCAGCGTCATATCGTGCCTCGTTGCGGGAGAGGTTCTTTTGCTGCTAAACAGCGTTTGGGGTTAGCATACAACGTCCACGCTACTTTGAAAATTGAAGCACGCAATGTGCCATGTGTAGAACATGTCTATTGTTTATGAAAGGCCAAGCTGCCCCTGAGTCTTCCTGACATGCGACTTTTCGAACCCCGAACCCCAACTTCTCCGGCCGTTCTGTTTTTCTTCCAGAGGGCCCTGGCGAAAGGCGGGGCGGGTCCGCTGCTTCCTTTGCCGGCCTCGACGCATGGACCGGCCAGGAGACCATTGAGCTCGGCCGCGTCCTGGAGATCTTCTCGAAAGGCGTGTGCATGATCGACGAGGCGGTGGGTTTAGTGTGGCGTCTCCCAGCCAGTCCGGTTCCTTAGAGTTTTAGCTTTTAGTTGGTTTAGTTTCGGGTTCCTATTCAACCCACTAAAAGTCAAACTTTTAGCAGGATCTGAGGACAGCTTATCCAGCCACATGGGTATTTGCGTCCACAGGGGATCCGAGGACAGCTCAGGTTTAGTTTGCGCCGTACTCGCCTTTGGGATGAATGCTGAAGCGGTGCGAAGGGCCGAGAGCACCTGTGAGAACCCAAAGGAGTGATGATGGGTTTTATGGCCTTCGACACGTGCATTTGGGCTTATCAAGGTCAAACGGTGTGGAAACACAATCTTACAGGAGCCCCCTGTAGAAGTCTCCTCCTGTCAGAAAATGCTTCCTAAAAGTCAAGGCCTCAGTGTGTTTAAAGGTTTGGAAAGCCTTGGGAGGCTTTAATTCTGCTGTAGGGTCTTGTCAAACTGCAACTCTAGATGAGCCATTATTCCAACAAAACCCTTTCTTCATTTGTTGAATTCTAGTACGATCTGCTCCCAGCCATGCAACGCTGCACTCAGTGAAAGCTGGGAGAGCTTGTTTGTATAATTTATCAGGCCTTAAGAGCGAATTTGTTTACTGCCGTGGGCTCTCCTCCCCTCAACTCGTCCCCCCGCAAACCTGCAAGGGCCATGAGTTTTGCTCGCCGACGCCTCTTGTACTGGTTTTCCTTTGCTCCCCTCAAAAGCTGACAGGAAACCTCCGGCCAAAACAAAGGCGCCATGGAGCCTCAACCCCTTTCTGCTCGCCGACGTGAGACGTGAGACGCGACACGGCACTCAGGTGGACATGGTGCTGCACCCTCTGCGCAGTGAGCTGAACTTCCCCATCGGACCAAAGAACCTCATCGACTTCGCACCCCACCGGTGGCAGATCCCTCTGCCCCTCGGCGCTCGGCTTTGATCGACCGGGGACAAGTTCCCAGCCGCTGCGGGTATGGTGCAGGTGGTTTGTTTCCTGGGCTGCTTGCTTGGATGGTCGCGCGCGCGCTTGGGCACGATGGCGTCCGTTGCAGGCCAGCTCGCTGCTAAGCCACGGGAGTCATCAAGCGGCCAGAAGCCTATGGCTTGCAAATCGAAAAGCATTCCTTGTGAGCCTTCCAGATGCGTGGATCACCAGTACCAGCCATCAAAGGAATCATCCCACTGCCATTGTTAGTTCCAAAGCCTCATCTCCACGCTCCTGCATCCTTACTCCTTATTTTTAACTGGTTCACCTTGTCGAATCAACCGAGAAAACTAGGCCCTTTTCTTCCACATGGAATGTACCTAAGGCCTAGAGAGGGTTCTCGATGTGCCCCTTTATCAGGTTCCATTGCCCTGACTGTCCCTAGGAGTCATGGTTTCAAGCTCAGAGTGCCTGGTCGGACATGTCCCTTCAAGCTACCAGTGGTGTAACTTTGATTCTGGTGAGAAACATGGCTACGTGAAATGTACCTCGAGGTGGGGGGATTCATCCCTGCACTCGACTCACTTCCGCCGGTGCTTTCTTGACTTTCTCCCTTTTGGGCAGACGACTTGAGCGGAACGCCAGCCCATGAGGGAAGCCACCGAGGCCATGTCCAAAACGCCCCGAAAGTGTCGGGACCCCTGGAAATGAAGGCACTGATCATCGATCTTCTTCTGGTTCCCTTTCCACCCCCACGCACCCCGCCCCGCGGCGGACATTTTTTTCCCAGGCACCTGCTGGAGGGCATCTTCATCAGCGAGCTGAAGGGCGAGAAGGGCGAGCTCACGCCCCCGGAGCGCTTCGCGGACAGTGCGCTGGCCAAGGATATCCTGTGCCTCGGCCCAGCTGAAGCGGCGAAAGCCGGTGAAAACGCCCCGCATGTGGGATTGCAAACCACATCTGAGGGAAAACATGCATTGGGTCGTGGAAAGAGCAATGCCGACTTTTTGAAGGGAGGCATGATATTGACCCTTCTTCCCTTGGCGAAAAGGAGGGTGGGTGCTGGACTGGGCACAGGTACCCTGGATTTGATCGCTTGGAGTTGGCGTTTCATTATCCGTGAGTGGAGTCGAACACAGCCTTCCAAGACGATAACCCGTGGGCGCCAGCGTTTGTTGTGCACGTTTGGGATGCCTTGCTTCCTCACTTTTGCAGCCTTTGGATCCGCCCCCCCCCTTTGAGTTTTTGGGCTTTCGCGGGCTTTATTTGGGCCTCCACCGGCGCAAGAACAAAGTTCGCTGCGAGGAAGCAGATTGCGAAGACCGTGGCAGATGGCACACGGGAGCTGAAGATGCAGCACAGCCCCCACCTGGTGCTGCTGAATTTGGAGTTCTACGAGGCGACTTCTGCAGAGGTTTTTTGTGGATAAAGAGTTCTTTAGCAAGTGATCCGCATGGAGTTCAACTCCGGGGGGGGGGGTTGGGGGGTGGGAGAAAAAAAATTGGGCGGCTGAAAGCTTTGGCTTTTCCCTTAGCTAAAAGGAGCGGGAAACGAAAGGAAAAGGAAAGCGGGCTCCAAAAGGGAAGGGAAAGCAGTTCTCTTGGAATAAGGGTACGACTCATGAAAGAATCACGAGAAACCGAGGGTAGGCTGCGGGGCTAAATCACTCTGAGCACTTAGTTTGTCTGAATTTGGTCCCGAGTAACCCCACAAACACATTCTTTTTACCTTGACACTTACAACAAAGTATCTTGGGCTTGTCACAAGTTGAATCGCCCAAAGTCCAAAATGGGTTTGGAAACCCGCACATAAGGGGCTCAGCAAAGACGACACACCTACATTATTCCGCGTTGAACACGGTGTGTCAAACGCAAAATCGGATCGAATGGATTGGTCATGGTCCTCTATCTTTCCCCTTCAACCACGACCCCAAAGGAAAGCTCACCTTAAATCGACAACATCCATTTGGGATGTTTACAACCAGCCGATGGGAGAAATGTGTGTGTGTGTGTCTGATTGGACGGCACGCCTTTCTTTGTGGTTTTAACTTGAAACCAAACGGAAAATTAAAACCGATGTCATTTTGGGGTGTCCCACCTAAACAAGGGACACGCACACAGACACACAAATACACTCCCTCGGGCTAGCATGGAAGCTCCCCAATTGGCATGTTTAAATGGAGGTCTTCCATTTCGGGGTCCGTTTGGAAGCTTCCATGTTAGTCAAACACGATATAGCGAGATATGGGGGTTAATCAGTATTCCTGGCCCCCAAATGACCATGGGTAACTTTCCCCACGTACATATCACATATATTTCTCGTGGTATTCCAACCAATGGTCATCCCATGCAAAAGGCTTCTTTTCAACAGAGCCCGAATTAAACAAACGCCCCTCTAAAAATGTAGAATTTGAAAAACCGGCAATTTTCGGGGGCTTGGAGGGTTTTACATTTACACTTGCTTCTAAACCTGAACCCTTGGCGAGGAGAAGCTGAAGGAGGTGATGGTGAGTTGGATGACTTTGTGGCTGGCCTCCGAGCACGTGGGCCGCAGCTTCGCCCACGAGCGCGAGGGGCGCCTTGGGCTGCACCGGTGGTGGTTGGGTCTCGTGTTTTCTTGAGGGTGCCCGGGGGGGTGGGGGAAAAATACATAAAATGGCACTTCTAGCCTGAAAATTATTTTGAACAAGTATAGACACATTATAATAAATTACCTTATTCATTTACAATAAAACCCCTCAATATTACATAAGGTTAATACATCATTATCATCTATTAACCTTATCTAATTTACCAATCATTGTTCCTCAGCTTGTATCTTTCCTAAATTATGTTGATGCTTTGTTGTTTTAAGATGTCTTCCAAAATGCCCTTGACTTATTGAACAATTGCAAACATCACAACTAACAATATATTTATTTCTCCTATAAGTCCTTTCCAGTTTCTTTTTTCTATACTCCTCATCGTTTTCATATCTAATTCTTTGTTCCTCGTTCATTCTCTCCCTATGTCTATTTTGATAGTCTCTTTGAGCTTTTAAACACTTATCACATCGCATATTATCACCACTGAAACTTTCCTTAGACTTATCATTTTTACACTTTGAACACTTTTTCACTGCTTCCATCCTTATCATAGAACTACCGTATTTCTTTAAAGGCGTTTCCACGACTAAGAAAGAGTCAAGCAAATCAAGAAAAATTAAAATATTTCAATCTTTACAAACTATAAGTACAGTATAATTATAACATATAGAATTTTACATGTTATTATTATAGTATGATTATAATTTCAGTACAGGATAATAATTTAATTGACAAATCTTTCTTCTTTCATACATCATTTTAAAAATAATATTAATATCTCTCAATGTATTTTGAATATTAAACTTTTTACTTTCAATAAATAATTTGATATTTTCTTTAACATCTTCTCCTTTCTCTTGACTATATCCCAACATCCATAATATATCATAAATCATTTCATATTTTTTCTTACTGATTTTAAGAAACTGTTTAACATAATCATAAGGTGGTATTTTATTTACAGTTAGAAATATTAAAATCTCATCTTCTACATTTCTATTATTTATTCTTTTTATTCCCAACAGACATTTGATTAAAAATTGATTATCTCTCCAAGTTTTACAATTTTCACATTCGACTTTTTCATCCATTGAATAATTAATAATATTATTCACTATTTCATTAGGTAAATTTAATTTATACAATTCCATATTTTCTTTTTTGAAGTGACAACAATCATAGCATTTTTTATTGATATAATTATTGATTTTATCACCGTTCATTTTCCTCTTATTATATTAAGGTTTTAAATCTTTAAGTATATTTTCTAAAAAGTCACTTAAAGAAATAAACACATTAAATTTATATAGTATAGTATTATGAAACATGTTATAGATTATCTGTTGAATAATGATAAAGCGGAAATTCCAAAAAGAGGAAACAAGGAATTAAAATCAATAATTATAGATGGTAGAAAATTTAGATACAACAAAGAAAAACCCATCTCAAATGTTTTGAACAAGAAATTAAAATCAGAAGCAAGAACTAATGAGTATAATAGTTATGCAACAAAAACATTGCGCTCAACATACCTAAAACAAAGAATGAAAAATGCAATGACAAAATATGCAATCAAAAATAAATTCCAAGTAACAGACCAACAATCAGCTTTCAAAAGTTATGCTAATTCTATAAAACTAGTAAATAAACATTTTCAAGGTGAAAAGGCACTATCAATGATACACCACCAAAAAGATAGACTTTTAACCTTTTTGAAAACTAATAGAGCTATGAAACTGAATATAAGGGCAGAAGGTTTATTTTATCATTATTATGATGATGATGGAGTAATAAAACATACAGAGATACTTTATAATTTACCTGCTACAAGGTCAAACATTTATAATGAAACCGATTTGGATGAAGCAATTGAAAAATCAATCAAAGAGATTTTATTGAACATAGAAAAGTTAGAAGGTTCAGCATCTAATTTAAAATTTATAAAGATATTATCAATAACAATCCATTATGACAAATATGACCCAACTAGGGCGGGTAGTTATATAGATTTACCAGAATGGATTAAACTAAAAAAGGCATGTATTAATATCAAAAACAAAGATAACAAATGTTTTAAATATAGTGTTCAAAGTGTAGTGTTTGATATAATTAATAAATCAAATTCCCAAGAAATGTTCCATTACAACAAATTAAATGACAATATCCTAAACTGGGAAGGTGTTAAATTTCCAACTGGTAATAAAGATATTGAAAGGTTTGAAGAAAATAATAGTAAGTTAGTTTCAATCAATGTTTATGAAATTGATGATACTTTGAGTGACGAAAAAATTATAATTGATTACAGAACTAAAACAAGAGATGCTAAACATCAAATAAACCTTTTGAAAATTGAAATCAATAATAATAATCATTATGTAGTTATTAAAAGTCTAAGTCGTCTAATGAACTGGCAAACAAACAAAAATGACCAACCAAAACATTATTGTCATTATTGTTCTCACGCTTTTACTAGAAAGGATTTATTAACAAAACATTATGAAACTGGTTGTATGGCAACACACGGACAACAGTTTAAATTACCAAAAGAAGGTAGTTATATTGAATTTGAAAAACACAATACAAAATTAAAATGTCCATTTGTTGTTTATGGAGATTTTGAGTGTATAACTGTAAATTCAAATAATGGCATCAAGGGCACGTATCAGGAACATAAACCATGCGGTTATATGTTGAATGTTGTAAATTCTATTGATAATACAAGTCAACCTTTTTTATACCGTGGAGAGGATTGTTTAGACCACTTTGTAAATAAATTAAGAGAAATTAAAAAAGATATTTTTGATAAAATGAATGTTAATAAACCAATGGATATTACAGATGAACAAGAAGCAGAATTTAGAAAAGCTACTGTATGTTCAATATGTAATAAGAATCTTAAACCAGAAGATACAAAAGTCAGAGACCACTGTCATTTTACCGGTATTTATAGAGGTTGTGCTCACGAAAAATGTAATTTGGATTATTCATTTAGATATTTCAAGATACCAGTATTTTTTCATAATTTAAAAAACTATGACTCTCACTTAATAATAGGCAAAGCAAATGAAATAAATAAGGAATTGAACGAAAATAAGAGAATAGATGTAATAGCACAAAATAGCGAAAAGTTTATTACATTTTCATTTGGTTCATTACAGTTTAAAGATAGCATGGCTTTTCTCTCAGCATCTTTGGATAAATTAGTTAAGTTAAATAAATATGACATAGTAGGTAAAGATGAACATGATAAACCTATATATAAAAAGCGGAATGACTGGAAGGATAATTTCCGATTTTCATCAGCAAATCCATATATTAGAAATAAAACCGATTTAGACTTATTAACTGAAAAAGGAGTTTATCCTTACGACTACATGAATTCATTTGATAAATTCAATGAATCGCAATTACCGAATATAGAAGACTTTTACAGTAAATTATATGAAGAAGGTATAACAGATACACAACACACAAGGGCAAAAGTAATATGGGATAATTTCAATATCAAAAACCTAGGTGAATACCATGATTTATATTTGATGACAGATGTTTATTTGCTTAGTGATGTGTTTGAAAACTTTAGGGATATGTGCTTAAATTATTATGGTTTAGACCCTGCTCATTACATAACATTACCTAATTATTCGTGGTCTGCCTTCTTATCTCTTACTGGTGTTAGACTTCAACAAATACATAATAAAGACATGTATGAAATGATTGAAAAAGGTCTTCGTGGCGGGATGACTCAATGTGCTCATAAAAAAGTAGAAGCAAATAATAAATACATGAATGAACAATATGACTTGTCAAAACCATCAAGTTATATAAGTTATTTAGATGCTAATAACTTGTATGGTCTGGCTATGAGTAAAAAACTACCGTTTGATAATTTCAATTGGTATTTTTCAAGGATGGATGAGAAGAAAGTATTAAGTTATAGCGATGATGATGACAAAGGCTATATTTTAGAAGTTGATTTAGAATACCCAAAAGAATTACATGATTTACATAGAGATTATCCATTAGCACCAGAAATTATGAGTGTTAGTGAGAATATGCTTTCAACAGTTCAAAAAGAAATACATAAAAAATATTATGGAAAAGATGCATCTGATGAAAAAACAAATAAACTAATATTAAATGTTATGGATAAGAAAAAGTATGTATTACATATATCAGCATTGAAGTATTATTTAGAGCATGGATTAAAACTAAAGAAAGTCCATAGGGTAATTAGTTTTAATCAAGCAGATTTCTTAAAACCATACATTGATTTCAATACCGAAAAACGAAAGAATGCTAAAACTGAATTTGAAAAAGATTTATTCAAATTATTAAATAACGCTGTATATGGAAAAACACTCGAAAACGTTCGTAATCACAATGACTTCAGACTAATCAATACACCTGAACGCTTCCAGAAATTAGTAAATAAACCATCATACAAACATAGACACATTATAAATGAAGATTTAGTGGTGGTAGAACTTGAAAAGGCAATGGTAGAATTAGATAAACCTATTTATATGGGTCTATCAATTTTAGATTATTCTAAAATTCATATGTATTCTTTTTATTATGATGTATTAAAACCTAAATATAACGATAAAATAAAATTAGCATATACTGACACTGATAGTTTTATTATCCATGTTGAAACTGATGATATTTACACAGATTTTAAGCTTATAAATCAACATATGGATTTTTCAGATTATCCTAAAAATCATGAATGTTATAATGCTTCTAATAAAAAAGTTCTTGGGAAAATGAAGGATGAGTTATCAGGGAAAATAATGACACACTTCATAGGATTGAAACCTAAATCATATTGTTATAAAGTGTATGGAGAAGATGAAGAACATAAGAGGAGTAAAGGCATTGTTAAACATAAAGTGGCGACCTGTTTAAACTATGACAAGTATGAAGAAACATTAAATGGTGATTTGAAGGATAAAGTTGAATTTAACACTATACGCTCAAAAAACCA